GAAAGAAGAGAGGTCGCAAGAGAAGACCTAATTGTATAATAAGAATTCCTTTCAGGTAAACAAAAAAAAAGAATAAAATTTAGTTATAAATCCCAGAAGAGATCATGCAATGGTTTAGCTTACGGGAACAGAAATGTTTACTTCCCACATCATCGATTAAAGAATTTTTTTTTCTGATAAGTAAATTCTCTTTGGGGACACTGATATCCCTGGGCTCGCCCTGAAGCACATTCCTGAGTGCAGGGTGTCCTGTCGGCAATGCCACGCTCCCTTTCCTTAGTTACCAAGTTTTTAGCTCTGGAGTTTACAAGACAAACTTTCCCACTTCTGGGATACAGTCACATCCCTGTTATATTGTTTCAGTAACTCCATGAGGTCTTGTTTGAAGTTTAGAAATATGGTTTGGGTCTGGAGAATGTTTTTCCGGGAAGATGCTCAAGAACAGATTGTTTCCAATTATCTGAGTAACAGCTGAATCTGTTGAGACATGAGAATAATGTGTTTTTTTTCTTTTTTAGAATTCCTCCTGAAATCATCAGTGGCAAATAAGTTTGCAACTGAACAGACATCTGAGATTTCCCTTCGGGGTCACGTGAGAGTCTGTACTCTGTTGCTCAAGTAGCGAGAGATGCATAAATGGATTGGGGGTGCACCTTTCCTTTGCCACTTCTGCCCCTCGCATTAGTGGAGACAGATCACCACGACCACCACGGAATCCTTTAAAGAGGAACTGAGCGTCACGTAGGTTGCAATCAGGATAGAAGGACAGAGTGGCCCTGTCCTGCCTGCTGTCATCCTCCTGCAAAGAACGGAATTCTTTCTCATATATGATTCTATCTAAACACATAAACTGTCCTAGGAAAAGGAAAAATTTCAGCTTTCTACGAAAGTGACATAAAGGAAAGCAGTCCACTTCCTTGTCAAACAATCATTTAGTAGTTGGCTCAGATTTTTCTGTAGTGATTTTTAGATAGTTTGTATTTTCCCGAATGTTGGAAAACACAGGCAGTATGGTCTCCCAGGAAGAACGACCTCCTCTCAGCATTTCCTCCACGCCCTTGCAGAAACGCCGTCTCCATCAGCAGAGGGAGCGCGCATCTGGGGTCAGCCGGGTGACCAGAACAGAGCAGATTCCTGACAGAACACTTTTTAGTTCATGTTGACCCACCACCGAAACATGAAGTTTTTGTGGGTTTTGCTTTAGTCTCAGTGTGCTATTTTAAAATCCCTTCTTTTAGGAAAATTCTTTAGCTTTTCCTTCAATATTTACTGACATCTCTTTTGAGCTTATATTTTTTATTTTAGAATACTTAACTGTCAAATAAAGATTGAATATACCCAGGGTGTACAGTGTGCTGAATTGATGTATGGACACACTGTGTCACGATTACCACAAACTCATTAACATACTTTTGACATATCACTTTATTTCTTGTTTTATAAAGACCTTTTAAATCCTTTTCCTTGAAGTACAAACTCAGTACTCTCCTAAAATTTACCTTAATTCCTCAAAGCAAGAGTTTTAAAAAAATGAAATTACTCCTCCCTCCCACCTTTTTCCCTTTTAGTACTTTATTTCCTTCTTTGGGGCAAACATATTTTCATAGGTCCTATCCCCACTGCACCCCGCCCCGCATTTGTTCATTTTCCAACAAGGAGAGCTCTGTTCTGGCCTGTGTGTGCCCAGAAAGAGGCTTCATGTACAAATTCTATTCTTGTCTGGACTCTCACTGCAGACACAAATGCCGTGGCGATCATTACACACTATCCGGGATGTTACGTTGCTTGTAATTTTATATTGCTTGTTTAGAGACTAATAGCCCGATGAAGGGATAGTTGGAACCAGAGCAAAAGCGAAGTTTCCTATTGCTTTTTTCTTCCTTTTGCCAACATCTACGTCACCCTTTGTTTCCAACCTCACTCTC